TGGCCCGCAAGCCGATATAGCACACTGCCAACCTTCCCGAAGTTCATCATATTCCTGGTGCAAACTGAAGTTGAGTGGCCAAACTAATAAAGGTACACACCCATGGGACATCTACTGTCGGTAGATGTGTAGTGAAGGTCGGAGTCATTAGGGCTTTTAAAGTAATCGATAAAATGTTAGTAACCGTGATTTTACTCAAGATAATCAACAAGTTACCACTGGTCAAGTTGAAATTTCCGCGTATAGTTGTGTAGAGCAAGACATGAGGTGATTATCAAAGGTAAAGTCTTCCGATATTGAATAAAAAATGTGCAGGACGAGTCGGGTTATCCAGGAAGTCTTTTGGATGTTATGGTGCCCACGTGGATGTTACAACATAATTTCTTTACTCTTCACTAAATAGACGGCTTCCTTTTCGTGTAGAGCTAACAACGATGGCCGCTGTTTTGTTCTCTGGGCTAGACAATTTTGTTGCGAACGATTGATCACAGTCGAGATAACATAATCAGTGCGTTGTAAATGAAAGTTCACATCCACTCACAACGCACTGATGGTGTCAACTCGACTGGTGCTGAAAAGTTCGCAACAAAATTGACCAACTCGGTCATTATTACAACCTGAACTACCAATATCTCCTTCAAAATTTCAGAACTAACAACGTAAGTTCACCAAAAATTTCATAGACTATTAACAGTTAAGTTGGCCTGCAATTGGTTACTTGATAAGGGCATTCAGGCCTCAGTAGTTGATTTGATTACCTCCAGTCTTGGCTACCGCCACAGCTTGTCCATGTCAGTACGAGCATTGGTAGAAGAACTAACTAATTAGGGGAGCATCTCTCTGATTGATGGCACACTAGCCGAAGGTAAGCGGAAACAGACAACGCCCAAGTCAAGAGTAGTGTGGCTACAGCTAAAAATTAAGGTAATACAACTCGCAGGTGGTCTGCAAATGGTCGACTGACGCAGTCAGATTGTTTGCTTGAATGACGTCAAGAGATGGGAGCGAAAGATTAGGCGAGCCTGGATTCCGTAACACCAGATTGGACAGAGGGTCTTTTGGCAAGACCAGTCACGGAGTAATTAGCCCCGTTGTCAATGAATCCATCAAAGTTGCACTTGTAAGTTTGTTTTACCGCTGACCTTAGAACCACAGCAGGGGAGTTGGAAGTATTTAACTGAAAAACGAACGTGACCCTAATGAAACAAACCAAATGATGAGTCATGCACCTGTATCTCCTTTTTAGACAGCACTCGGTGCTGCTTCACCTGGCCATATGTCGACAAGGAAATGACTCCACATTACCTGGTTTCGAGGTCAGTTGCGTATAATATCATTACAGACCGCTGATATTCACAGGAACTACTTTGGACCTCATCATCTAGGGCAGATAAAAACAGCGAAAAAAAGAGAAATTTCGTAGACCGGATGGGTCATTCATCGCGGGAAGCTTTAAATTGCCTGAGGTGCTGGATGGTGTCCAGTTTCTTACGTAATTGCTGACCAGACACTACAGCGTGTCAATATTGGAATCACACACGTAATGACCAGTAGTTACAGATGACTGCACTTGTATTTCTGTCATAAGTAAATCCACCCGACTTGACGCTCCATTCGTGCGTCACTGGCTGGAGGTGGGCTATCAAGAGTTCCACCACCAAAAGTGACATTCCTCAGTGAATACATTTACTTCATCTGGCGCTGAGCCATTCCAAACAAAACTGATCCAAAAACAAGCAAACGAAAATCGTCATGGCATTCAAAAACGTGTTTACAGGTAACCGTGGGCATGAAGTCAATGCAGGGGCCTCAAATGTGGGTGAACAACTAAGGCTAAAAGTGTTGTGAGGAGTCTCTTTGATCCACAAATTTGGGCTTCTACTTCCAGGTCTGTTGATTGTGGCAAGTGGCTGGAATCCATACAGAGATTTCGGTGACATACACTTTTGTGGTACTAATGGTAAATTGGTCAGCAGTAGTCCGGGTATTGGTAAGTCTACGGCTATCATACGAGAACTTCGTGTGTCACCTCTCACTTTTATGCTCACTGTGGATGGAACAGGAGAGAATAACCATGTGCAATGATAAAACCTACGTATATGCTTGGGAAAGCACACCAGAGGTGCGTGTCTTTTTACAGTTAGTGCATATGGTTCCAGTTTGGTTATTTATTTCGCTATTTGGTTTTATTTACTGTGTACTTGGTTGTGGTCAGAAAAAAACAGTATTTGTTTCATTAAAGAACGGAAATAGAACGGATATGGAGGATAGTGTATGAAAGCTGCTAGTGAATATTTCCATTAGTTATATCTGGTTCAAGCCTATCTTTTGCTCAGTGTGAGTATTGCAATGGTAACACTGTGCACCTCAGAATAGTGACTTCCAAGGCTTAGTTAAACATTTACAAGAAAGATTAGACACATCACATCTGTGTTGGCAAGTATGTGCCAAGTTTTACTGCCCTACATAAGTTTGCCGCACACCTGTTACTTCAGAAATCCGAGGGAGGATATGGCTTATACTGAGGTTTTCACCGGCCACGCATAACTAGCTGTTGACAATAACAGGTGGCTGGCCAAAACATGCATCCATTATTCCGTAGTTTGTGCATTATAGTGTAGGTGCCTGTTGTTAATACCATCGCAGCAGATTTTGCTGGTCCGAGCTTAATTTATATTTTAACCACACTACTTTTCAAGCCACAGTAGTAGGATATTCAGGTGCGCTTACTAGATGTACCGGCTTCCGCTTGTCCAGTATGGTAGTTGAGACCTATGCGGCGAAGGAAACACCGCCAGCCATAAGCGTCGGGGTCACTAACCATTGGATTGTCTTCCCGGGGGTCCCCATCCGGGGGGACGGCAGTTACAACTGCCGCCTCCTTTGTTTTAAATCCATGCCTAATAGGATGGTGGTAGAACCCTATGACGGTTGGAATACATGTAAGAAAAGGACTGGAACCGATCAACAATAAACACTGCACGGAACATAACCTCCAAGACCATCCAGGACTCAACAGCATCCATCAGCCAGTACGAAACATAAGAGGAGATCATTACCATGGCTCAATGCATGTCCATCAACTACAAACCTGATCAGTCACCCCAAGTTGCTTCTATTGGGAGTTGGTGCACATATACCAAAGGTTTCCACTGTGGCAAGCCGCTGGAAAGGTCGCACACACATTAGAATCAACTATTTTGTGGATACCCCATAGAGTAACTAAGTATTGTACCAAGTAACTTCTGTTTCTACAGAGGGGTAGTCGACGTGGCCAAAAACCTGAACGGTCGAATTTCACACTGAGGTATTTGTTACCACATGCACTACACTTACCAAAACGGTAAACAGTACGTCAACCATTTGACCGTTTTGCATTGAATTCGATACGGTTGGTCCTGAGTATACCGTCAGCAGATGTTGTGAACTATTAGGTGAGATGGCATATGATGGGTGAGGAAAATTCTCACGTGTTAGTAGGTTCCACCTAAATGAACGTGGTGAAGAATTGCATGCAGCAAGAACAAAGACTGAAGGCTCGAAAACTGCCGGACATTAGGCGCTATGTGTTGGGAGGCGGTCATTCTAGACTCTCCGGCATAGATCAGCTTTACTTGGGGACGAAATCTCGAGTAAAATTCCCGAAACTCTCCATAATATCAACGTAGTTGGAATCGGCTGCAAATTCGATCAAGCATCTCGTAGGCATTGAGTCAGCGCCAGAATTGCACGAATAAAGTAGGTCTTCATAGTAGTATGGAATAAGCAACCACTACTTCCTTTTGAGTGATGGCTGATTCCATAGGAATCGTATACATCCTGAATCAAAAGTTATTCGGCAGATTTCAGACTACTTCCTTTTGAGTGATGGCTGGGTCCACAGAAATTGTATCCATCCTGAATCAAAAGTTATTCGGCGGTGTTCGAGTAACCGCGGCGCTGCCTGATTGAGTAGTCTTGACAGGGGGATCAACCTCCCCACAATCAGCACTGCTCCTGGATACTCGTTCTAGGTGATGGGCTAGACACGTACACGGTTCATGCGTGAAAACGCTCAGACGTAAGAATTCAGGCGAGTCCAGGGTGCACTGGCGAAGTTATGGCAATGTGAGTACTTCGCCTGTTAAATGTCAAGCGGCCAAATTCCAGCGCAGCCAAAAGAATGGCACTGCTGATTCGCACTAATAAGGGAGAAAATTGAGCCCGTCAACTCTGCCACGTAGTATGAGCTAATCAGAATGACTATCCAAGGACAGAACTGTTTGAACGGTAGTGAGTGAATTAGGAACGATCAGTCTAAATCACCACATAATCCTAAACAATGGGGGTATTTATAAGTAAACAGTCAATGAGGTTGCTGACTGACTATGCAATCAGCTTCGGTTGACGGAAAGTAGGGGACTATGTCTAGCTGATGAGCTCAAAAAAGGGTGAAACCGGTCATGGGTTGTCGAAGAATTTTCGACATCCTTATGAGTAGTGTAATACGTCTATATTCAACTACGTATGCGATAGACATACAGAGAAAAGACAGGGGTATTGTTAATGAAAATAGATGAAATCTCTATTGAAACACATCTCTTTACATCACTGTGAGTCACTAGGCAGTTCAGAAACGGGATAACTTCACAAAATATGTGAAACTTCCTTCTGAGAAGTCGACACCTAAAGAGCCAGTCAATATGCGACCACGTAATGTGTTTTCTGGTCTTGAAGGACAAGTGGGGCTATGTCCCAACTGTGTGAGCGTTAAACCGCTGATGAACTGCTCCTGGCCAAACGGTTCAACCAATAGAAAGAAGTTCGCGGGCTTGAAACTCTGAGTTTCGTGAGATACGTACTGCCAATGATCTCCAACGAGGAGGAAACAATCATGGAGAACTTCTCGGCTTTTCAGCACAGACAAGCTTCACTGATAGGACGAACTCTCTATTGGAATATACTATTCACTGAATCTTGCCTGTGAATACACACTATCAACGGGTCTCAGCTCTTCTGCAATGTTCCTCGCCCCTAGCAGATCCGCAACAGCCCAAGCTCGTAGCGCGTTGGCCGCCGAGAAAGCAATACAGTTTACTTTAAAGAGATACTACTTTATCGTATTCGACAGTATAAAGTCGATCGCCAACTCGGTACTTCTAGTCCCCATAAGTCTCAGCCATCGGCGGTGCACTCCGGCTCCCGAGTCCTTGCAGACAACTGCTGTGCTCAGTGATCAGGGCAAAATAAAACATATCTGCTGAGATGAGAAACGTAAGCACCTCGTCCTATGCATTCCAACCAGGTACGAACGGGACCAGCTTATGGGATTAGGTGCCTGAGTCTGCCGTTCATTATACAATTAGGAAACGAGCACGCGTACTCCCAAGGTTTCAAGGAACCTTGGATTCAGCTCACTTCAGGATTACATCACTTTCATCCAAATGACAAATCAGTCGAAGTGCGAAGACTGGCCGCTAAGTTTGTATCTGCTGCTTCAGCGGATGCTCTACTAACTAATATTGATTGTCGAAAACCGATTTTTTGACAGATCGTTTAATCGTGAGACAAGTCATCGACGGGCCGCCGCTACTATACTCTGACAAACGTCCGCTTTGACGTTTCGGAGATCTAACACCATGCGCACTTAGACCATAACAAACAAACTATTCTACGTTCTACAACTGACCGTACTTAAGCAATTAGAGAGGAGATAAACCATGACAGAATAACCGTAAACTGCCCTCGGCTTTTGGTTCATGCAATGGATAACTGGCAAATTGTACGATAACCCCGCTTTATTTGCTTCTCCGCTTATCCCCAGAGTGGCTGTGATCCAAACCAACTAACGATGGACTGATCAATCGATCAATGGGCTTATGACGAATCGCCCTGCGAAAAACAACCTGTCACCTTTGCAAATTCACAGATACACAATATTTGGTAATGAGAGGGCAATGTCTCCTATTTGCCTGAGGTGAGTATCCCATGTATCAGTTGTACGTTCATACTGTGCTGAAGATGCGTTCATCCTTGCTGGGAACCATTTACAGTGCACATCTCACGAATCCCATGTGGATGCCTCATTGTTTGACGAGGGGTGAACAAAGATGCGGATAGCTGTTGCACGGATTTGACACAGTATGACTCATCCACGGTAGCGATGGGCTTCCCAACTAACGTTTGCACAGCTCCTTAGATTTTGCGTTCCGACTAGGTTACTTATATTTTTCAAGTAGTCAGAAAATTGCGAGTTTCTTGCACTGACCCTGTTAGGCCGAAGCGAAGCCAACCGAGAAGACCTGACGAAAGCGTAAGCTAAACTTGAACACATTACCGCTCATTCTCCATACTCTCGATGCTACTCCCATAGGGTAATCGAGGCTGATTAGCGGTGTGTTACGAACCACATGGGCCTGCTTAATTAAATAATATGCTGCGTTGTATTTCAGTGCAAAAATTGAACTGTTCTGTGTTTTAGATTTTATTCCAAGTCGTTTTTCCCCTAGAAATTTATTCACCAGTTTACACGGTCATTTTACCACTGGTTGTGGTGACGACGATGATTTCTGAGCTGCAGATGACCCGGTGGTTATGGCACGAAAGGACTTATTGGAAAGCATGTCGTGTGAACCCCACATTGGCACCTCGACGGCTCATGTCTAGGTTTGAGAAGCCTGGCAATATCTCATCCCTCGTGGTTCCTTCTGGTGGAGTGAGAGGGTGCTACATCCGAGCGATTATTAATTTGCTTTATTAGATCTCCATCCGTACAACAGGTTCAGTGACAAAATATACGGGTATGTATCATTTAAAACAAGGAGGATATTCTGAAGCAAAGAAACGAGAAGTCTGTGATTTGCCTAAGTCAGAGAGAAAAGTAAGTCAGTACGGGAGGATGGTACGAATTGCATACATAAGCCGCAAATAATAGTTGCCCGAATCTGACATAGTCCGTGGATAACCGGCTGCTAAAACCACCCTCCAAATCAGTGATTCTCGGATCATTTCCCCTTCCTCAAGGAGACCGCAGAAACGGTTGCCGATTGTACAATCGAAGTGAAATTTCACAAAAACTGAGACGTCCTCAGAATTCAAGCGTTATTTCTGATGAGAGGAAAGACCTCCACCAAGGCTGGAACCGCAGAGCTAGCAGGGACAAGCAACTCGGGAAGAACACGAGCCTCAATTGCAACCAAACTGTCAAATATTGAACGAAGCTCAGCCATTGGTGCTTCACAGAAATTCTCGCCTTCTGAAGCATATTTAGATGACCGGGCGTATTCCAACTCCACAAAAGCGACTAGAGGTGGAAACAAATCGGGGAGAACTGCGGTTGACGCAATTGGCCAAGCTAGTTGAACAAACAGATGTACACAACGCAGCACCAGTAGGTGGATCGTCTCATCCCGAGCATCCTCTGGTAATGACTTTCGAAGCTAGATAAAGTAGAAAGAAGATATAAACAAACAATGTCACTAAGAGAGGATGGAAAGTGGAACAAAAACCACTTAGATAAATGAAATCATTAGGCTGGTTCGAGTAATCTGGAGGACAAACAACCGTCACATCGTTCAAGTAAGAAAATGTTCACTTCTTCAATAGCTTGACTCGAAACTGCAAGTGCATTATTACAAATGAATCAGCTATAAACCGCGGTATAATAGTCGCAGTGACGTGCATAAAGGGGAGAGAGCCATGTATTGAAGTCAATAACTATCGTACATGAGTGGATCGTATTTTACGTGTTCCATACCCAACCTAACCAAATAATCCACATAAGGATTAACTGAACGGTGACAGTGGGAAGAGCCACATAGATCCTTGTATTGAAGTTTGGCACTTTTGTTGCTACTGTATAAACAACTATCATCTCTACGGAGACTAAAAAGAATAAGTTGACCGAATGGGTGTACCCTGGAACTTTCATCGAGATTTGTCAAACGTCGACCACCAATCTTCACCTTAAAAACGAGTACAACGGAACCCATCAAGTCCAAATCAGATCAATCGGATAGGTAAATCATATGGCCATGGGCTACCGGTGAAAAGATACAATTCAGAAGTGTTGCTCATTTTGAGGCGTACAACCCAAATCCAATTATGCTGTGGTGCGTGCACGTCTGGTAGTGAGCCTGGACTCTGAAAGTCGACGAAATGTATACCAGTCTATTACCAGAGCCAAACAGTGCCAACCTGAGCTAGCGTAAGAACTGCGAAGGCAGAACACAGAGCTCTGGCTACGAGCATCTGGATGGGATATGTGGTATATACAAGGAGCCGTGCTGCCAGCATTTAATAATATGCGTCCTACTTCTTTGACAAGACAATAGGAGCATTAAATACCGTCAAAATCAACGACACTGGCGGATGAAATAAAATCCAAAGAAGACAACGACCATTAAAACGCCGGATACTCAAATACGTTGGTGGAAAACGACTTCCCTAAAGACGAAAAACGCATTCGCCGCCTTATATCAACTGACTTGATGGAGCGACCAGAAGAAAACCGCCGGCGAAACAGTCTACGGAAAGCATCGGTGAGCACTGTAATCACAAAAATGTCATATGAGGAGATGGGTCACGAAGTTTGAACAGCAACTCATCTGACCTATTGCAACGCGTTCATTAAAGACAATGATAAACCCGAAAAAGACAGCTGTCCAAAAGATGAAATAAGGAGCGAAGCATCTATCTGGAACGTGAAGTACCAGAACCAGATGGGTTGCAGTCCGCTCGGTATGGAAAATGCGGGGAGTGAAAAAATAAACCTATAGAATGCAGTGCCCCTACAAATCTTCAAAAAGGGCAAACGAACACTGAGGAAAACAATCGGGACATTATGTTTGTGACCGCAACATCCATGATCCCATCTGGATTTGTCGTGCGCAGATTGGCCGAACAATGAGGTAATCAAGTTGACTTTCATCCCAGGTGCACAAATATCTCCATTCTCTTAAGAATAAAAGAAAAGCGATACTGTTGTCAGTGACCAACAATGAAAGCCCTTTTCGACATTCAACAGCATGCAAGGGGAGGGCACTGTACGGTAAGATCTGGCAAAGTGACATCTCACCCATCAGCTCGGCTAACCAGCGGATCTAGCCTGGGTCTCATCTACACCGTACGATTGCTTAAAAGATAAGATAATAGGATTCGATTACGACAATGGCATCGTTTTGCTTTACGTCGAATCGACTTCGTGTCCTCCAACAGTGGAAATGGGCAGCACAGTCAGAAGGCATGCGATAGCAACTGGTTAGAACGGACGTTCAACCTACCTCGGTATGCAACAAGGACGACCAGTTGAGAGGCTTTCTGGCCTTCAGTGAGAGTGGTGACGTAAACAATTTTCAACTCATCCGTCTGTGTGTATCAATGGATAAGTGCTTGTGTGGCTTCTTCAGTAAACAGTGTACTACTGACCTGTTTTTGTGTGCCGACTGTCCAGTTTTGGTCATTACACCCTTTTACCTATTCATTGTTTAATGACGTCAAGATACAGTAGGGGTGTTGACCACTTATACCTAAGTACTGTATGGGAAGGGAAAAACGCTCCGGAATAACACACTGTGACCACGTGGAGAAAAATGCACCAGAAGGATGTGCTAACAATGCATGTCAAACACCAACGAAACCAAGACACAAAACTAACTTACATAGCCCGGAGTTCGAGGCCCCAATAGAAGAATCGACACGACACGGGTAAATCGGCGAGTATGTTGCACAAAGTCAGTCTTCATTATATTAATAAGCTGCAACAAACTCTGCAACATGACCGTCTGCTTCGGACGACGTGCTTCCATGGTTAAGTCACCAAGCAGGCGATCGGCTAATCGAGTGTATCCATCAAAGGCCTTGTCCTTCGGCAGTAACTTGATCAGATCGAAACAGGTTGTGTACATCTCCCGTAAAATGTCCTCCGAAGAACCAGAACCACATGCTGCGCGATGTTCGAACAAGTGAAAAAGGACAGCCTCTGCGCGATTGTTCTGACGCCAGTCTGCTACTCGTGCTTTGCTGGCCAACCAGCGAAGGACAGAAAAACCAGCGTGTTGCAACCTGGGGCGATAGTCACTGGTGAGTCGAAGCCCCAAAGGCTGCAATGTTGAGATAAACTCTTCGCCAGCAAGTTCTGGATAGTCGAGCTCTTTGGTCATCCAGATAAGGACATCGCGGTATAGCGGTCGTGTATTCAAGGGATCAGTTAGAACACTGTCAGTAGATGCACGTGCCACATGTACGATGCAAAGTCGGAGCATCTGAAGACACAAATGCTCTGCTTTGGGTTGGGATAGTTTGCGCGGTTCAAGTAAGAGTAACTGACGTGTCGTTTGGACGCCACAATTCAATTGAATAGAGAATAATAGTTTACTAGTGATCGCCTCCAACGATTGCTGGGAATGAAATTTCCCGGATGTTAACAAATTGCCCAAAATGCCACCAAGAAGAATCAAGAGTTGGGCTGGAGGGGGATTTAGGCTATCAGGCATGGAAACCAGCAGGCTGTCGAGTTGACCGATAAGTTGGGAACACTCGACGGACAGGTTAGACCAATAATCAACAGAAACGGACTCTTCATCTACTTCCAAATGTGTCTTGTTCAATAGTGACTGGATTCTGGACAGAACTTCTTCCGACAACATAGTCCGTCAGCTACTGAAAACCGAGAAAATATGCATGATGGAACCGACAACAGCGTAATTCACCAGAGTGAATTCACATTTATGCGGAAAATTAAGTGCATCACGTTTTTTAAGGGTAAGACTCCTTCTAAAGGAGAGAATTTTGGCGATGCCGAAATGTCTATAACCTGCCTGGAAAGTAACCGACCAGGTTAGTTGGCACATACGGGGACACAGTTTGGGATTCCTGTCCTTTCCTGAAAAAGAGGTTTACAGGCCCTCCAGGGTCCGCGTCGTCTCGTCAGCGATGACGAAATTAAACAAAAAACGGGGAGAATGGACGTTTTTGCCGGACAACACTACTTGTTGGTAAGCTTTCGGGGGCTCCCAGTACACTCTCCTGCTCCAATATTCTAGATCGGCAAGTTTACCGCCCGAAGTGAAATATGCAGATGAAATTGTTCACTTTTTTAGGAAAGAGCAGGAAGCCCAAAAGTTATTAGAAAAGCTAA